TCAATGCGATAACATTGTTTGCAAAGCGTTAATCGTAAATTTTTTTCTTGTTAAAAATCAACTTAACGCTCTTACTTGCAGTAAGGCAGAAATGTCGTCTACATACACGAAGGCTCTCTGCATGCAATATCCACATCTATATATATCTGTATGGTCAGGTGTACAAATGCTATCTCAATTTCTGTTATTTTTGGGTTTGTTTGTTTTGTTGTTTTAATTCTACTTGCTTTACGAATAAATAAATCGAAGAAGATTGTTGGGTTAAAAGGAGCTCAGTTTTTCGTCTTTCAACATATCGTTTCCACAAACCGTGTACCTAATTCTTGCAAAGGCTCTGTAGGAGAGAAGAGTGTTCCGCCGTTTCATCCTCTTCAAGGCAGGAAGGACGATTGGGGTTGTTCTGTATGCCGATCGCAGTTAGATGTTTGCACCACGTAAAGTATCCAGCCAAAGCCAGCCAGTTCCACAAGTTGCCTGCAGTCCAATATGTTCAATGAAAACAAATACCTAGCGCAACCCGCAACGATGAGGGTCAATATGAGTTTCGCCTACCTGCATCCGCTCGAAGCCTCCACCACCCAGTCTTTGCCGAGCGAGGTATTTACCCAGTTTCAGGCGGTAGCGCTGGCATCGACGGCTGAAGGTGGGAGTGCTATGGCTGGATACGAACCGAGGAATACCTGGTCTGAGCCCTCTCAGGCCAAACGGTCAGATACCTCATTACCAGGTAATCCCGAGTGACGTGGCACCCAGAGTAAAGCAAGCCCGTTATGTTTACCAACATAATTTCGCTGAGATTTGCCGGAACAGTGTGGAAGTAGTAGTTACAGGGCTGACAATGGCTTGAGTGCAGCTTGGATGTCACTATACGCATGTAAATTCCTGCAGCTCCAGCTATTTTCCACCACGTAGGCCGTGGCCTTGAGGATTGTAAATAGCTCGGCTTGGACTATCGAGGCATATTTCTCAAGAGAAAGGTGAAGTTCACCCTCTTTACCTTTCATATAGACACCAGATACGTGCCGAATGTCAGTTTTGGAGCCATCAGTAGTACACTCGATAGCTTGTGAGCCCGAGCTCAGTATTCGAATTAAGCCAGCAGAACCAACCGTGTAGAATCTCCTTAGTAAAAGCAATTCTGGGGCATTGAAAAGACCCTTGTGTCTAGATCTCTGCCAGCAGCAATCTCCGCCTCGCTCCATACAGTCCAGTATCAACATCCACTTATTTTAAGCCAACAGGTGACCTTTAAGTAGGGCTGCCAGATATCTCTGTTGCCAAACCGGGACACTTAAGGGTGGGAAAGGCCTCTCGCTCCCTTCCCTTTCGTTTCGACAAAAATTACGTACGAAAGGATGTAGTAAAATTTTATTTTGACAAAAAAAAAA